CCTTGCCTGACTTAAGCCTGAAACAATGACAAAGGGCGGTGCAGCCCTGTGCTGGAAAGGGCGGGTTTCCTGGGCAATCAGGCCTAAGAAAGAAAATGTAAAATCCTGTGAAACCTGCTTTGCTAAGAATGCTTTCAATTAAATGATAAGGGTCTGAGCAGGAAATGAGTTTGTTTCCCAAAGTTTTATGGCCCTTTAGCTAAATGACCCTGACTCAGAATAAGCCCTCCTAGTTCTTTGTATGCTATCTATTGTTTGATCCTTACTGTCTGACAATGATTGATGAGCTTTACCTGTATTCCTGTGCAAACCGAACCCAATAAAAGCCCCACTGAGGAAAAGGCTCTTGGCCCTTCTCCTTTGAGGGATCAGCCACCTTTCCTCCCCAAGCAGATCATGTCTTGGTAGACTTATTCTCATCCGTGGCAGCCAGCAAGGGGGGGGGGTGCGGGGCCCTGCAGGCGGAGCTCCCCACAGTTCATGACACTATTCATTCAATTTGTTCCACCATATAGATACATTTTATTTCTTAGATCACAGTTAAATATATGTATTTATATATATTTATAATACATACTTTGTATATATACTTCACAGTTAAAACAAACATACATAGAGAAACTTCCCTTCCCCATGCTCTAAACATAGGGGCCCGTGTCAGGTCTGAGCAATCAGAATTACAAAGATTGGTTTCTGCACCTGACCCAGTTTTGGCCCGTGAGACGCCAGCCCAAGCTTGTGCTTGTGCTGGAACTACCCGGGAAGAGGTGCTCTCTTTCTGCTGGCATTGTGAGGCTTGTCTGTATAACCCGTCCCTTCGCTAGCCGGAGGAGAAAGCTAACACAGAAGAGAGCAGGGCCAAGAGGAAAGGGACAGATTCCTGACATCACTCAAATGCTTCCTTCCAGCCACCTCTGAAGCCAAATACCTGGGGCTTTCCAGTTAATATTCTTTTAACTAAAAAGAAGCCTAATTCAGTGGACCAGTCACATGAAGGATTTTCACTGCAACAGCCCGTGCGATCCTTTACCACACGTAAACCAAACCATGCCCTCCTCCTGCTCCCGACCCCGCCGTGGCTCACCAAGCAAAGGCTGACGTTCTCAGGGTGACCTACCAGGCCCCTGCCACCACGCCCTCCAACTGTGACTCTCCCATTGCTCACTCAGCCTAGCTACACCAGCCTCTCGGCTCATCCCTGAACCTCCCCCGGCCCCGCACCGCCCCTCGCCCCACAATGTGCCTTCGGGCCTCTGCTGTAGCTGTTCCCTCCACCTGGCCTCTCCTCCAGACAGCCACCTGCAAACCCCCTTGCCTCCTGCAAGTCTCTGCTGCAGTCTCAAGTTCTCAATAAGCCCTAGCCGAGTCCCCATCCCCATGGCCGGTGATCCCGAACACCTCCCTGCCTTTCTGCTTCTTCCTTCCTTAGAATTTATTATATAATATAGCATGTACTCACTAAACGTACCCGATGAGAGCAGGGGTCTTCCACTGATTGATGCATCTCAAGTTCCTAGAACATTGCATGACTCCTAGCAGGCCCTCACGTATTTGCTGGATGAACAAATAAAATGATATCAGCCTCAAAGGAGCAGAACTTGGTTCTAAGAGGCAGCGGAGGGAGAGGACATGGACCCCTATCTCCTGAGCCTGATGTGAGTGGAGCACAGGAGGAAAAGACACCTGCTTTTCAAAGACTTCAGGGGGTGCAGTGACCTCGGGGGCAGGAAGTAGGCAGAAGAGTTCAGTAAAGCGGTTGAGGATGTGGGTAGGGTGTTAAACCACAGTGAGAGGGCTTCATGTTAAGTTTTGGGAGGCACGCAGGAGCTGGAGGCTGAGTCAAGGCAGAAGCAGCCCAGAGAGGTTTGCAGATGAAAAGTGACAAAGAGAGATGGGCCAGTGGTTTACTTACATTTTAAATATTTTAGTTATTTATTTTGAGAGACGGGGGAAGGGAAGGAGAAAGAGAGGGACAGAAACATAACGTCGACCAGGAATGGGAATGAAACCCGTGATCTTTCTTTCGGTTTGCAGGCCGGCGCTCAATCCACTGAGCCACACCAGCCAGGGTAGCTTACTTACATTTTAGGTGGAGATGAAGGATGTGGTGATACAAGGCCTGGTGAGTTTAGCTGACGTCAAAAGAATTAGTCCTAGCAACCGCTGGTAAACAGAAAGGATTCCTCCCACCGCCCCGTGGTTTGAATGATACTGGATTTTCTGGGAGGAGCGGCCATCACCTACGGTCTCTCCCTCCTTCCCAGCACCCGGGGGTCATTCAGGAGTGTCTGCCGGACCTGGGCCCACAGAAGGCAACTCCCCTCAGTAAGCAGCCTGTCAAATCTTCTCTCTCCAAGCCCAGAACTGACTCTGAAACAGGCATCCAGGATCACAACCCTATTATCCAAAAAAGCAACGGAACAGGCTTCTTTTTAAAGACAGACCAGAGAACTCACTGTTCCCACCTGCCCTCCACGCTGCCGAGGCAAGGAAAAGCAGGGCAAAGGGAAGCCTTCCTTCCACTGGTGCTGATTCACCTCCGTTGCCTTCCTTCTGTCCACAGAAACTTCTCCAGTTATGAAACATATGTGCATGCCAAGATGCAAGGAAAATGTTACTCCCAGTCAGAGAGAGAAATTACATTGTTTAGCCTCTGAGGAAAAGTGGCTTACTATAAATCAGGCCCTTGGGAGTGATGTCATTTTGATGTTCCTTACAGCTATAGGAGCCTTATTAAATAATTAATAATTAACAATGAGGTCTTCAAGACTCTCTCTCACACAGAGGTGTCTCTGTAGAGGCAGGCAGCAGGGACTAGGCTTGGGCCTCACTTCCTGCCCATCAACGAGATCTCGGTGGTACAGGGCATTTGTCTTCCCAGTTCTTATCAGTAGAACGCCCATAGTTCTGAGTCAGGTGTCCTCCTGACTCAGAAGTGTGCATCATTATGAAGAGAGGCTCATTAAGCAAACATTTAAAACAGCCACCTGTAGCAGCCAGCCCCCAAGACGGCCCCAGTGATCCCCAACAGTGCTGTTGATCAGTTCTGTGACTTTAAGTGACACTCCACATAATAAAATCATAAGCTAACTACATAAACAAGACCGAAGCTCCCACCGTACCTCTTTAATGTTGTAACAAAATGACGTCATTGGCGGACCTGTGGACACGCTCGTGCCCTCTCCCCGCACCGCACCAGCACGCGTCTCTGTGGCCAGAGAGTACGGCAGAGGCCCACCACTTCCAAGCGGTGGATTACAAAAGACCGTGGCTTACATCTTGGGAATCTCTCGCTTTCTGGGACCACTTGCTCTGGAGGAAACCAGTTACCACGGCAGGGAGCCCGGTGGAGAGGGACTATGATCTGCCGATAGCCAAGTGACTGAGCCTGGAACCCCCCGCCCCCGGCCCGCACCGCAGTCCAGACTGCAGATGGTGGCAACCCTCGCCAACCCTCCTCAACAGCCACTTCATGTCAGACCCGAGTCACCGCCACCCAGCTAAAGGGCTCCCGGATTTGTTGACCCTCTGGTGCTGTTTTCAGATGCTGTGTTTTGGGGGGTAATGTGTTACACAGCAATAGATCATTCACTCACTATCCTACACAGGCTTGAGATGGAAATCAAACAATTTAACCTCAGTTCCTCACCAACATACGTGCAGGACAATTTCTCATTCCATAAAAGAGCAACAAATTATTTTCAGGTATTTCAACAGTTACGTATTGAGTGTCAAATATGGGGAAGGTGTCTGCAAGAGCCATAAGCCTTCATATAGTATATAATTTATATGAAGAAACACAATCACAAAGAGGCCCCCCCCACACACACACACCTCAAGCCGCTGAAACCACTGGTTTTATTAGCTTTTCAAGTCTTCTTGCTCCTAATGGTTTAGCCCCCACTCCCTGCTTTTACAAACTCTCTCAAGAAGGTACATCAAGAACCCCCTCCTAGCTATTTTGACTGCAGGCATACCCATTTTTATTGTACCATATACCCTCCCATCTAAGGGGGAAAGAAACTTAGGTCCCCTAATTTCATTTGGTATTAGGACAAGAAGGAATTTATATCTCACTAGGAGGAGGAAATACCAATCACAAGCGTTGAGTACAGTCCTGATTTCTGCAATTGGTGACAAGTGTCAACAGCCGCGCTAATACAATCACAGCTCCAGTCCCGGGCACGGCTGAAATGGCGACGGGGGAGGGGGCCGCGGCCGCTCTGCCCTCCCCGGACTCTGCCGTCTCTCAAAGCAGCAGGAGGCTTGAGCTGCTCCGAAAAAAAAAAAAAAAAAATCAGGAGCCTCGCTCTGCACAAAGAAGGTCAAAGGGCGAGTTTCTTTCCATCGACCACAAAACCAGCGGCTGCCAAACCTAAACAGTGTGGGAGGCTGTCAGAGGTGAAGGCAGCCCCAGACAGAAAACCACAGCCGAGCCTCCTCCCGCCCGCGGCTGGGGTCGGAGTCAGGTGACTTGTCGGGGCGCACGGCAAACCTAGACAAAGGTCCCTCCCCGCAGGACCGACGGGGAGGAAGGCGGCTGGCAGGGAGAGCGAGGCAGCCCAGCCGGGCTTCAGAAAACCATTAACTCTCACTTCTTGGCAGCCCCAGCAAGCTGGAGGAGCTACAAGTTACTCTGCAGCTCAGCCTTCAGGGATGCCCCAGGAGGAACTTGGGACCCCATCCCAGGACGCAGGCGCCGCGCTGCGCTCGCGCCACCGGCCCCGGCCCGCAGGCGGGACCCCTCCCCGCCAGCTGTCACCAGCGCTGAGACCCAGGCCGGGCAAGCCGGTCCCCTCTGGCCGCTTCCCCTGCGGCTGCGACCCCGCGGCGGCGACAGAGAGGAAACGCCTTTTCCGAAGTCTCTGGGGGCGAGGGCGCGCCCGCCCCCGGGAAGGGGCGCCAGGGTGGGCGCGGCCGGGTGCCCGAGGGAGCTGGGCACCCATCAACCCTTCAGGGAGAGAAACGAACCTCCTAGTCCCCAGCTAAGCGCGCCCCACCTTGTCGGCGAAGCTGCGGGCCAGGAGCAGGTCCGGGCTGGGCGTGCTGTCGCCGCCCACGGCCTCCTCGCTGCTGGAGCCGGCCAGCGGGTGCGGCATGTCGCGCAGGGAGTGGGGCCCCGTGGACGGCAGGGCCTTGGGGAGCCCGCCCGACATGGCGTGCACCGCCCGGGACGCGCCGCCGCCGCTTCCTGCTGCTGCCCGCCGCGGCGGGCTCCCCCAGCGCCCCGGCCGAGGCCCCGCTCCGCCGCAGCTCTGTCGGAGGCCCTGCACCCGCCGGGCCGGGAGCCGCCGCCGCCGCCCGCGGGTTCGTCTCTGCCCGCGCCGGGCCGCGCTGCGCTGGGCTGCTCCGCGCCGCGCGCCCCCGCTCCGCGCCGGAGCCCGCCGCGGTCCGCTCGCACCTTGGCCGCGGGCGGCCAGCCAGCACCGCCACGCCGCCCGGCCTCGCGCGGCCCCGCCCCCGCGGCGCCTCGGCCGCCCGGGGAGGCGGAGGGAGGTGGGGGGACGCGCGGGGGGGCGGGGAGCGGGGAGGCGGGCAGCTCTGTCCCCGCCCGCCGCCCCGCAGGAAGTGCGCCCCGAGCCCGCGGCGGCCGTCCTCCGAGTGTCCAACCTCGCCGCGCAGAGACCGGCCCCGCGGAGGCTGCGCGCTGTCCGCCGAGCAAATGTTTAACGGAAATCAGAGGTGGAAAAAGACGTTGGAGGACCCTGTTGTTCCATTCCACCCGCGTTGCTGAGGCGCCCACGGGCAGCCACGCCGGGGTCTGGGGTCTTCGGAACACGCCTGTGGGTTGAGATCGTCTGGCCTTTAAAATAACCCGAAATGGAAGGGATTATGAGGCCTATCATAAGAATGGCATAAAGTGCTATTCTTAGGTTCAGAAGAGAACAACACGTCAAGGAGACTGCGTGAGATTTCTTCAAACGCACGCCGAGGTCCCCGTGCCATCTTGCTTCTGCAGCGAAGCTGGGTCTGTGCTAGGTTCAACCGCGGAAGAGCGAGCGCCAGAAAATGAAGGGAGGGAGTGCTACAAATGATACGTGACTTTTAAACTCACTTCTTGACTGAACTGCTTTTTGAAAGAACCGTGAGGTTTAAGCTCTTTTTTCATGCTTTTGGGCTTCCTTTCCGGGCCTTTGGCCTAGCTGGAAGCCCTAGCTGGATTCTCGGCATTATTTGCTGGCGGAGTGGAGATAGCTAAGGCATTCCTTCAGCTCTTTTGGGGATGGAAGTTCCCTTCCTTACCCCACGTTGTCTCTGCAACGTTTGTTCTTAGGGCCCTGACAGTGGAGGTTATCAGTCCAGGCAAGAACAGATGGGTTACTAACAAAGTAACGGGTGGGGTGGCTTATCGTGAGGGAGCAGGCTTTCCCTGTCTGTTCCCAAGCTCTAACGGATTGCCCCCGTTTCACCTGACGAATCCTGAGGGTGGGATTCACTGTGGTCTACAGCCCACTTTCCTCTAGAAACAAGTCATGCTTCAGCAGGAGGAGAATGCAGAGAGTTGAGGCTGACCCAAAACATCGCTCAGAGACTCAGCGAACGTTGGAGATCTTCCTTACTTTCCCTGGTGTGATTCATCGGGCCTCCGGCCTCACTTAATCACCTCTTACCTCTCCCACATGGGTCTGCCTGGTGGGGAGACGAGGACCGAGAGGACACAGGGGACAATGTGGAATGCTGCATCTCCCACACAGAAATGCCAGTGTCTGGTTCTCCTAGAGTTGGGCAAAATTACCTTCTATAGTCAACAGCTGCTTAACAACCCCTACAGACCCTATTCACCATTCTTCTGATTGGCGCTAAGATAAATAGCATGAGTATAACTAGAAATGAGTTTTCTATAGGTGTGCAGCACAGGTGTTTGTTACTGAATGGCATTATGCATTTTAACAACCAGGCTCCCTGAACATAACGGAGATCTTATTAAGACTCTGCACAGCTTTCTCTTCGGCAGCCAGGGAAGAGTGGAAAGGGAACCAACCACCTTTGAATTCCTCCTCAGTCACCACAAGTGGGTGACCATGAGCAAGTTGCCTAATGTTAATGAACCTGTTTTCTAACCTAAAAAGAAAGAGCACACGGGGCCGGTAAAAGTACTCACTGTAGGTGGTGGTTGTAAGGATGAAGTAGCATATTCTCTAACAATCCTAGAAAAATGCCGGCGTGGAAATAGATGCCCCTAAATATCAATCCCCTTCCTCTCCCTCTCTCTCAGGTTTTCTCTAATTTTTTTTCTTTAATTTACTTTTAGAAAGAGGGTAAGGGTGGGAGAAAGGGAGAGAAACATCAATGTGTGGCTGCCTCTGGAGCGCCCCCCACTGGGGACCCGGCCTGCAATCTGGGCATGCCAGGAAATCCAACCCTCCACCCCCTAGTTTGCAGGCTGGTGCTCAAACCACTGAGCCACACCAGCCAGGGCTGTACTCTTCTTATGAAACAATTATTGTACAGTTTTCACAATGAAACATGCTGCACTCCAAGTTTTTCAGCTTGGGTCAGAGTACTCTATTTCTATGCTCCCACCAAAAACCCAAAAACAAAACAAAACAAAACAAAACAAAAATACCCAGAGTTCCTGAAAGGCCATATGAAGCAGTTTATTCATTTATTTTCCAGTTTCCTGGTTGGCCAGTGGCATGTGGCCACAATGACCCAGTGGGTAGTCAGCAAAACTAAAGAAAGTGAACTTCTGTGGAAAAAAGTTTGCTACAAAGTTTCCACCGTTCCATTTTAGCCCAGGACTGCCTATTCATACTCACCATTTCCTGTTGTATTTCAGTGGTCCTTGTGGTGGAAAACTGTCACTGAAATAACTCTAAAGTGTCCCGGAGTAGGTGACTGTGCTTTTACTAAAAGTTTTCAAAGCAACATGGTAGTAAGGAGGAAACGTGAAGTTTCTTTATCAGGACGAAAGTTTCTAGCATTTGATGGAATTTGTGGAGGGGAGCGTAGATTTCCTGGGCTGAGCTCTGAGGAAGAACACCCTAGATACATGCGCATAGGGGCCTGGGGAAGAGACCACAGAATCCAAGAACAGAGCACCGGGCCTTCCCCATCCACAGGGAATCTCAGGCCTTTGGGCTGGCGCCTTGTGGGAGACGGGGCCCTGGGCCTGATAAGCGAGAGTCCTGTAAGCCTCACTAGCAGGTCTGTGAGGACTTCACATGAGCACCCAAACCTCAGAAACAAAGCAGAGTCACAGCGGATGGAGGCTTCTCTCTTTGTCTCCCCTGGTACAGCATGTGCTTAGGCTGCATTCATGTTTGTGTCAGCTGCTCACACTCTCCAGTTTTGAATACAATCATGGCTTTATTCTATATGGCATCGCAAACCCTGCCTCAGAATAACACCAGCCCCTTCTGAAGTGGCCGGCTGAGGAGGACAAAGGAGGTTTTCAAAGAGCATCCACAGTGACACGGAGAAAGCCACAGAGGGCTGTCTCCAACAAGAGGGGCAACTGGGAAAGCACCATCACCGACTGAGGCAAAATTGTGTGGACAATTTAACTCAGCCAACAATGTCCCAGGAAAAAGCAAATGCCAGCAGGTCCACTTGAGGCCAGGACCTGAAGAGTTTTGCAAACAAGAAATTGGACCTTGCCCCAGAATCAGCAGAGAGGCTCGTGGGTAAATGGTAGGACCCTTTCTCTTGCCATATCTGAGTGCCGGGACCCCAAAGCACAGAGACCCTCTGCAGTGGGCAATGCAGCACAGGTCACAGACGGGTGCCCGAGAACCACCTGGGAGTCTGTTCAAACGCAGCTGTCTAAGAGATGCTGATTCTGGGGTGGGGACTGGAATCTCTGTGTTCTAACAACCGCCCACCTGATGCTCATGCTTTGACAAACGCCCTCCCAGAGCTCCACCCATTTCTCTAAACCAGAAACTGACATTCCAAACCTCCTTTTGTAAATAGTATTTAAGTGCTTGCTTTGGAGAAATTTCCTGTTTGCTGAAAAGTGCTCAAAACACCACTTTCTCTTACAAAATGCTATTGCAGAGTCCTTTACCCTTAAACTTTTATGGTTACTTTTATTGAGGATTTACCAGGTGCTGAAAGTTTGGAAGGGCTCGCATGACCTCAATTATCTGTTGACAGATTCATTTTGTAGCGCTGGCTGTGAAATGCCTCACAACGAATATTTCCCAGAGCCCCTCACTTCTTTTGGCTGGTCATGCAGGCTCCTAGGGACAGGGCCTCATCTGGCCATAGAGATGCAATTCACCGCCATCCCCAGGGCCACCTGCTACCTGTCTCTCTCCACAGGCAGCTCCAGAGTGGGTAGGGGTGTGTGTACTCTTTGTGGTGGCTGCCCACTACAGAGGTGGGGCTGGAGAAGACACTGAGCTGGCAAGTACTGGGAGCCCTGGCACTGAGTCCATTAACAGAGGATTTTGGATCGGATGGAAAAACCTATTTACTGACTGTGTGCTGCTCCACGGTAGTGCTCTGGTCTATCTGGAAGAGGAACTTTCAGACATCATGTGACCCAGCAGTTTCGCTCCCAGACCACAACGGAAATGCATGTATATATTCATCAAAAGATGGATTCAAGGATCTTCTCATCAGCACTCTTTATATAAGTGTATGTAAAAAGGCATCTAGTGTGTGATCCTAACTTTATAAATGAGGAGGCTGAGGCCCAGAGAGGTTAAGTAATTTGCTCAGGGCCAATCAGCTAGTGCTACTGCTAGGGTGTCCTTCCATTTGGATGTATAGTGATTCCCATGTGGGTTTGGGGAATGCTAGTTAAGTAAAGCCAAAAGGTAAAGGAGTGAGGGGAGGTGGGGAGGGGGAGAAAGAGAGAGAGAGATTGAGATTGAATAGCGACTATTATTTGGTTGCTAGTCATTTGTCCTTTTTCACTGTTGTCCTGTCTCCCTCCCTCCCTCCGTCTCCCTACAAAGGCAGATTGTGAGGCCCGGATGCCTGGAGCTGCTACTGCCACCTTGTGGCCAAGAGTGGAGGCACCCGATGCCCTGAGGATCGCTGAGGGCGTGAGAACCTGGGTTTCGATGGCATCACTGAGCCCCTGCACCTAACCCCAGACTTCTTGAGCAAACAGTAAACACCCCTCTGGGCTCAGGCAGTTCGATCAGTATCCCTGGAACACGCAGCTGAACTCATCCTTAGAAACTGAGAAGACAAGAAACACAGCAAGCGGGCAGGAGAGAACGTAAGAAGAGAGATTCCCTTTCTGGGTAGCAAGGTTTCTCAGCAGCAGAGCCATTCTTCTGTCACGTGTATTCTCAAAAGAGGAAATTGATTCTTGGAAAGAAGCAAGAAAGTCTTAGATATTATAGTGGCTTGTGGCCCTCCAAAGCTATCAGACAAGATCTTATGTCTTATTTTTTAATGTTTCTCATGTGGGAAAACTTAAACCTAATCAACTTTTTCCAAATAGAGACAAGGATAAGAAAGAAAGAAAAAAAAACTTGAGAAACGCTCCTC